GATGCGCCGAGAAACATAAGGGGAGATTAATAGAGTACAAACACTAAAACTGTGCAATATAAATTTATTTTGTTAACTTAAAAGTAAAATGAGCAATAMAACAGTTTTAGTTTCAAAACACGTGACTCTGAATTAACAGATTACTCGTATTGCTACACAAGACGTCAAACATGATGCACATTGCTGTTGGATGGAAAAATACAGACTTTCCTACAGCAATGGAAGTCAATTCACTGATTACAAACAAGTCGTCAACGGGAACACAGACAGTGATACAACTGTTTACAACGTGATTGCACCAGCCATTACAGCGATTTACGAATTCATCCTCTAACAGACTATTACAGCTCTGTTGACGTTGGGCTGAGAATGGAGCTCTATGAATGTAAAGATGAAGGTAAAGCCTGGATTCCATATAATCGTTACAATCGCTAGGATCGCAACGATCRCCKAAAATGTGRCTCAACAATCGTAGCGATCATATGGAAACACTCTCCAGCGATCCTGGCGATCCTAGCAACCTCGATCGCCGAGATAGAATCTGAGCGATTCCAGCGATCGAGATTGCTAGAATCGCCAGGATCGCTGGAGAGTGTTTCCATATGATCGCTACGATCGTTGAAATTTTCGGCGATCGTGGCGATCCTAGCGATTGTAACGATTATATGGAAACCAGGCTTAAGAACACACAATACATCCGTCCCAGGGTGCTCCTCGATCGTTGAGGTGGTTCCCCGTGTCGCTCATTGGGCCTGGAACGAGGGATCGCATGGACAGAACAGTTTTCTCTGATCACTGTCAATGCGAAAAAAAGATTATAATAATTTTCTTAAGAACTTCACTTTTTCGGTTATCCATTTTTTAGAAATCTGATACTAACACGAAACTAGTTCTAAAAGACTTGATTTTCGAGTGGTAAATAATAAAAGAAATGGACCAGAGCCAATGAAAAGGGCATCCTAAATTTCCCTGTTATTCATTCCTTTTTGATAAGTATGTATATGTCATGGTTAATCCCAGCAGTTAAGCGAAAAATATTCACAAGTATGCATGAAAACCTTGACTTTTTTTAATTAAAATTATCATTCGCCAGGAATATGTTCGTATCCTCTTGGGATGCAAAACAAAAGGATTAATGACAGTCAGATTACAGCCTCTTCACAATACAAGCTGCATCCACCATCAAAGGCAAGACTGAATGATCAAGGATGGGTATCTAAATATAACGACCAAAACCCATGGCTTCAGATTGATTTACATCAAATAAAAAAGATCAACGGTATTGCCACGCAGGGAGATGGATACTATTAGAATTATTGGGTGAAAGAATACCGTATTCAATACAAAAAAAAATGACACTATCGAACCTTTCCATAATTACACCGTCCATGCTGACCGTGAGCTTAAAACATTTCAAGGGAATATTGACAGCCACAACATCGTGTTCAATGCCCTCGATCCTCCAATAATCGCACAAATAGTTCRTATTGTACCAACGGTATGGAGASTGAAGTGGATCGCTCTTAGGGTTGAGCTGTATGGATGCCCATATAAGGGGGCCTACGATGGCTCTCTGCATGTATCGCGCAAGATCGGAATCCTCACCTCCAACTGAAAATTATCATATTCATTCAGTAACATCAGCAAAGTTCTACCGAGAACTTTAGATTAGTAGATAGATCGTTGATATACTTAATTTATATACTAAACATATCGGATGTCAACCGAACACCTGAAACCCATCTCTTTGACACCAATCCTTTCTAAAGTCGGGGAGGAGTTCATTATTGATGGCTATATCAAACCTGCCATTCTAGCAAAAATCGACAAGAACCAATATGGAAGTATCCCTAACTCTAACACCACGCTTGCCCTAATTAGCATGCTACACAGCTGGTACAAAGATACGGATGGAGCGACAGTGGGTGTAGTGTTATTCGACATTAAGAAAGCATTTGATCTCATTGATCACTCCATCCTCATGGCCAAGCTTCAGGATTACGACTTATCACCTTGGGTGCTGGATTGGATTGCTAGCTTTCTGACAGATAGGAAACAGCGGGTAAAGCTTTCCCACGACTGCTTTTCAGAGTGGGGTTCAGTCAAAGCTGGTGTACCACAAGGGACGAAATTGGCCAGCTGTACGGCTGCAAAGGATTTTAATAAAGCTATCTATCTATCTATCTATCTGACTGTCGCCGTTCTTCTCCAAATGAACCCCGAGCAAGTGGCAACACATGAAGGAGCATTAAATCTATAGCAGGATGTCGTGAATTTGATTCAAACGTTTTCGTAATCCATAAAGCAGTTGCTTACTGAAGACCACAGCCTACTTTAAGATATATAATGCTAATTACAGAACCTTACAAATATAAANTCATAGTACGAGCTTCGGTTGAGGCTAAGTTTAAAATTATGGCGAACAGCCTTTCATAGTACGAGCTTCGGTTGAGGCTAAGTTTAAAATTATGGCGAACAGCCTTTCATAGTACGAGCTTCGGTTGAGGCTAAGTTTAAAATTATGGCGAACAGCCTTTGTTTAGTATTCATTGGGGCATACCTTGTAAATTTGTCACATCAGTTTCAGGTCAATGCCAAGACGACAAAGACATTTTTATGAAGCAAGGTTTTCGTCTCCACGGACATGTGCTTGAAGCGTTCTGGGCACAGACAGTGGCTCTTTGCAGGATCAAATGCTACCTTGAGAAAAGGTGATGATAATGATATTGAGTATGATAATGATAAAGAAGATGACAATAACTTGATATAAAGTGTAGATACAGTCTAAACGTTTGCTTCATTTTACCAGAGCAAATCCTATATCAGTATTGGGCATGCATGGCCCTTTCCATTTACAAACATGGCTAAGCTAAGGTCTAGGTACCCTGGTAAATTGATGGCGATGCTGTTGATGATGATAGTGATGATGATAGCGATGATAATGATGATGCTGATATTAACAGCAATGCCATGCAATCCTAATATCAGATATGTTAAAAATAATTGGTGAAATCATGGCTGTACTTCTTTGTTTCAAGGTGTTCAACATACAATTACGAAAGCGCAACACAACGCTGTGAGTTGAACAAAGCTGTCATCTCTTCACAATGGAAAGACCTTCGACGGAATCAAGGCTTTGTCTACGTCGATATGAAGGTACACGAACTTCTTATCAACGAATACGGTGAAATACAATGATTTATTAATCTCTTTTGCTTGTCTGCAGAAAACTACTACGACTCCAGTCGACCAAGGTAAAACAATTTTATTACAAAAGTAATAGTTAAAACAGTTGACAGGTTTATAAAGGCCATAACATTGAAGCTGAAACCAAAAGGGATCATGGAGAGTCAACTAAGTAGCTTTCAGCCAATAAACACCGTCTGTAATAAATAATTACCCGCGTCCTCTGTACAACTGAGAAATTTCAATAATGGCAAGTTTCAAACAAATTTTATTGGTTCTCAAAGTTAGCTTCGTTCTCAGTTCATCGCCTTAATGAATCTGACGTATTTTGAATTAGTTTTATCCTCAAAGCAAAAATAACAGTGATGATGATGATGATGATGATGATGATGATGATGATGATATAGTGATAACAATGATACTAGTAACTAACGCGTAGCACTGGGATCGAATTGTGAGGGGTTCGGAGAGAGAGCTGGGGAGAATAAAATACCGTTCAAGATCATGATCCCGCGATCAAGATGATGACGATGACAACAATATTATCATGCCATTATACTGAAGAAATCTTATGATATTTTTATCTAGTTCTATGCAAGCAGTCTGTGGCTGTTGGAATCCAAAACAATTCCATTATCTCAAAATACTACTTTACGATAGATAAGGATTCGTACTATGGAGATCAGGCGAGACTTAACGGCCCGGGAGGCTGGTATTCAAACAACAGGAACAAATACCATTGGCTAAAAATAAATCTTGGCAAGATTGCAATGGTAAAATTATAAATACCAAWGAATTGTATCAACCTCGTTCCCAGGTCCTTTTTCTCTGTCCGCCATTTTGAAAAAAGCGAGCAGAGAAGCACTAGGAATGAGGTTGAGAATTGTATATCATTCCCGCGGGGTCCCTGTGCATTTTAGTTTTGGGCTTCCATTAGCAAATATATAGGAAAAAACAACAACAAAATGRCCGATTGCTCAGAAGTGCTTTCGCTATRATATCTGCAAGTTTCGGATGAATTAAAGCTTTAAAWGTCAWGAAAATCGTTAAAACCAATCCAAACGAACTTCCAAATAAGGTAAGATTACCATATATAGCAGATATGAAGAAGCTAAAGAAATAAAAAGCTAGCAAACAAGCAAGAATAGTAGACAACACCGTATCAAAGCAAAGAGCCTTCCAGCAAGCACAAACAAGCAAACAAACTTAAGCACTACACCTGACTGTAATATAACTTTTCGTTATGTTCTAGATAACCCGTATTGCAACACAAGGTCATCATAAGTATCACCAATGGGTTACATCGTACAGTCTCGCTACCAGCACCAATGGTAGCACCCCTTATACATCATACAACAATGGACAAGTATTCCCAGCAAACAAAGATGCAAACACTATTGTRTACAACGATCTTAAACCAGCCATTAAAGCAAGATATGTGAAAGTGTATCCCAAGACATGGCGCAAAGCAGTAGGATTGAGGATGGAGATTTATGAATGTAAAGAATACGAAGGTAATAGACATCAACTAGTCATCTTTWTTTTTCAAGGACYTTTTTKGGGTTGATATTTTATCTTAAACAAGACAGATGAGAAAAAAATATATGATTACAAAAATATTTTAAAAATTAAGGAGTAGCACACATCATCTTTTTGGTCATCGGCACTTCATTTTGCACATAGTAATAACACTGGCACTTTAGGGAAAGGAAGACTAGTGATCATGACCATCACACACTTCATCACCAGACTCATTGGAGAAACTAAGTCCTAATTTATATTTGTGGAATAATGACATAAAAACAACACTAGCATCGCTACCTATCGAAAGGATTNACGTCGTCGGCAAATCATGAAAACAGTTGAAAGTAAGTTGGTTTAGAACAAGATGAGAGCAATTCCAAGCAATTCCAAGTTATGATACGTGTAAAGATAAGCTGCACATCAATATCATTTGGTGTGCACTCGTTTTTGGCTGGCGTTTCAAGGTAAACGTTACGCAATCAAGATCTATAAGGTAGTACAGATGATGTTATGATACTATGTACGAGTTTTATAACATAACTAGTTATTATGATATTTCACTGAAATGAGATATGTTGCAAAAAGGAATGATTATTGATTACATTATTGATTATTTTTTGCCAACACAAAGCTAAGCAATTGTATCAAGAAAATTGCGAACACGAAGTGCCATTTTATTATTTTAATCTCAATCCCAAACAATCATTCGATGAGGTTATTTCAATATCGAAAATAATAAAGATCGAGGTGTCATTAGCCTATGAGCACTGGGAGTTCCATCTTTGTTCTTTTTACTGCCATATAACATTTACAGACAATTAAGACATTAAGCGCGCCCCCTAAAAACACCATTATTGAATTCATTATTAGATTCTTGGTCGATTCAACATTACATTATTGAAATCAAATTTGAATTCAAACTTCGAAATTTGATTGGATTATTGATCGGATTTTCATAAAGCCATCGTCGTATTTCGTTTGTAAACATGCTGGTCTTTTGTAATTTCCACAAGTCGATGCATTGCAATATGGTTGGATCTGTTCCTTCTCTCGTGCACTTCTCTCAAAAAGCTGGAAATGCTGTGTTGTTTTCTGTCATTATCAGAGTTCGAGATTTGAATTTAATTTTGCATTAATCAACTGGAGTTTGAAAACGAAAAATAAAATGAAAAATCCAATAACGCATTGAATAACGAACTATTCGGGGGGCGCGATTCATGTCTATTGACGACTGCAATAGTTACGGCCTGCTCACTTATAGGTACTCGAATTTTAGAAATAAAAGCGCGAAAAAGACAGTAAGAGAACTGAATGAAAGAAAATGAAGGACTATGTTTTTTGAAAGATAGTAATTGAGGCTACTAGACGATGAGTACAATTCCTGCATGAGATCTTGGTTATTTCATACACTAATTACAAAAATATGCGCTGACCAATCAGAGATAAGATAGAGTCATGTATAGTAAAGTTCTTTGTAGACTCAAATGCAATTTGGTGGAACGGTATGATACCTCGTGCAATTTTGGCATTTTATTTACACTGGGCAACATTCATCAAACAAAGTTGATTAGAAATACCTGTCTCTCTGACGTCAATCAAGATCAATCAACAGTCAATTATTACGTATAGTTTAAAACATGATCTCGAGTGTTTTAAACGGCTTCAAAAACTCCAACACTAAATTGAAACTCAAAGCCGTTAAAATTCTTGGAAAAATTGCCCATAAAAATAAGTTTTGAGATAAATGGGCCAAACTGATCATGCGCAAATCACTTTACAAAGCACTCTTGTCATCTCACATTGAATACGCATAAAGTAAAATAGAASMSYTCTTGGCTGTTCACTGAAATCGGTTGACATCCTGCATTGGTCAATGATCAGGTTTCAAACCTGAGACCTTTGCTAGGGTCATGGGCCTTTATATCTGATAAAGGTCACCCTTATTAGAATTCTTTATATAAAGAATACTAATAAGGAGTGTTTTATCCGATATAAAGGTCCATGCATGTGACCAAATGTGCTCATTCTATTGGCCTAATAACTCATTAATTATGTATGAGTTTTTGAATTATGAATAAAACGGGACACAAGAGGTAACGCCTCTCAAAATAACTCGTCATTGMGGATATAACTTCATCATAAAGTATATTGATATAGTACAGAACCTATTGTTCGTGTGCACTGCGATCTCTTTCTACTGCAATCGCGTGTAAAATGAGACGGCTTGTGCTGTTTGGTTGGTGTGTCCTCGTTTTTTACTGGTTTTGCATTAACAATGGAGCTCAAGGTAAATGAAATTAAATAAGCCTGCAATACTTGATATCTCCTTTTTTTTCGAGCTTTAAATTTTCTTTTTCATTTAGTTTTTTTGGCCATGTACATATAATGATTATTTGCGCTTTTTACCACATTATTTGTCAGCGAGTAATTCAGGTATTTTGCGGACGATACTGTAAAAAAAAGGCGTTGGGTGCCAATCGTCTTTCATGGCAGCAGGCTGCTGAATTGCGAAAGACGCAGCTCGACGCGCTCTCAAGTCGAAATGGTTCGTATTTTTACTAATGGAGGAAAAACCGGAAAAGACCCAAGAAAGCCCTCGAGAGATTCTATGATAAGAAAGAATTTGTCTTTGTTTCTTGTCCAAAGTTTGTAAAATTTGTATGCAAGAAAAGAAAAAATGTTTTGCCATCTGCTCTTCACTCATCATAGCGAGATTGAGAAAACATATATCAGAAGCAGAATTAGCATACGAGGCAATTATTTTCCCTGAAATAAGTACAAAATACTTTGTTTTCTACAGTAAAATTATTCGTGCAATTTTATGCAATTTCTCCCGCAGTGCATTTCATGAATATCACCGATGTATTTTATTCATAATGAATGACTTCACAACAATAAGAGAATAACCGGGCTCACAAATAGGTCTGAAAATAAGCTGTTGAATCTAGCAGAAAATTAACAATCGATAAGTTTTTGTCATTTTATTTGTAGCAACCGTACCGGGACATTTCTTGTCCTCATCCCAATCATGACGTTATATTTTTACATAAAAAACTGACATCAAAAGGCCTTTTTACCGATATAATGAGTAGATAGGAACCAGCAAGGATCTCTCCCGGACAAAAAGCACCCCATTTTGATACAATTTCTGAGAGTCATGCTGTTAATGGCGCTAAGCATACGAGTAACAATAAAAGACTATTTTAAAATTAAAATTCCTAATGAGCTCGGGTTTTATCTTATCCTTTGTAAGTCTAAAGTTGGTTGTTACTTTATCACAGGTCAATGTCCAGCATATTTACCCAACTTTGTTGTACAACAAGGCTATCGTCTGTACGGACATGTTATCACCTGGCTGTATGCTGAAAATGAAGTTCTTTGTAGACTAAAATGCAATTTGGAGCAAAGGTAATGATGGCCTTAAATTATCGATAGATTTAAAAGAGAACAAAGATTAAAGCAAGCAAGTGTTCTGTACTCTAGGAAATATCGATAAATTATCCATTTTAATAAGTATTGCTTATTTCAAGGTGTTTGACATTCAACTTCGAGGAGAGAACACGGATCTGTGAATTGAACGACGCTGACCACAAAGAAGACCTTCAAAAGGCTCAAGGTTTTCTCTACGTTGACATGAAGGTCAGCGGTTATCATGATAATCATAGCGAAATTAATGAGTTGTTAGGTCAATAGAATGAGCCTATTTGGTCACATGCATGGACCTTTATATCTGATAAAACACTCCTTATTAGTATTCTTTATATAAAGAATACTAATAAGGGTGACCTTCATCAGAATATAAGGCTCCATGACCTAGCAAAGGTCTCAGGTTTGAAACCTGATCATTGACCAATGCAGGATGTCAACCGATTGCGGTAAACAGACAGCAGCAGTTCTATTTTACTTTATGCGTGTTCAATGTGCTTTGCAAAGTGATTCGCGCATGATCAGTTTGCCCCATTTATCCCAAAACATATTTTTACAGCAATTTCTGCAGGAATTTGAACGGATTTGAGTTTCAAATTAGTGTTGGAGTTTTTGAAGCCGTTCAAAACACTCGAGATCGTGTTTTCATGATCAGGTACTAAAGATTCTCGCCTTCGGCTCGAATCTTTATACCTGATAAAACACTCACTCTCGTGTTTTAAACTATACTTTTTAATCAATTAAATAGAAGTCAACTAAGAAATATGAAGTCACTAGTACTAGCCCTTCTCCTACAACATCCAGGCTAGGAACAGCTGCTAGTGCCAGTACTACTCCACCCCTTAGTACCAGTACCACTCCACCTACCAGTGTCGGCACCATTCCACCTACCAGTGGAGATACCATTCCACACACCAATGGAGATACCATTCCACCTACCAATGGAGGTACCATTCCATCCATCAATGGAGGTACCATTCCATCCACCAGTGGAGATTCCATTCCACCTATCCATGGAGATACAATTCCATCCATCAATGGAGGTACCATTCCATCCACCAATGGACGTACCGTTCCACCTAAAAATGGAGGTACCATTCCACCTGCCAATGGAGGTAACAAACCATCCACCATAACATTCAACGTNTTCTACAAACTATACGCAATGTAAAACACACTTGTATATTTGTAACTTGAGTCTAAGTAACGACGAATAAAGATCCCTGGTACGTTCTACCATTTGGTCTATCTGGTTAGTAAGCCAAGCCCCATTACATTTGGTGGAGATACCCGAGCAGATTCCAGGAAGGTTAGTGACCGACGTTGTTATTACATGTGTAAGTGCATCAGTCCTTTTTCTTTCTCCACTTTTTCGTTCCTCATTTGTGATTCGGACAGTTTTTCATTCATGTTTTGCYWATAACTTTACGTGTTTACTCTGCTTTTTGTTTTATTGTGGAATTGTACATTTCTTTGTGTTCATAAGTGGGGTCCCTAATCCCTTTTGTAGCAAAAGATTCTTATTGTTACCTTTGAATTTCGTGAATTTGTTTGCTGAACGATTTCACCGTGTATCTGAGATCTGGAAAAAGTGTTAGTTCTAAAACTGAACCTTGTMAAAACTCATTTCATAAAGAACCGGAAAAACACGAAAMGTCGAATTCAGTAAAAATGGCTGAACTAGCTGAGCAAATCACTACCGCTAATCAAGAGTTGATTAAGGCTTTCCAAGACTCTTTTGAGAAACTACAGGGTTCTCTTAAGGAACAATCAGATAAGAACGTAGGCGAATTGGCAACCGTTAACGCTAATCTAAGAGAATCAATGNACTCCACCCCTTAGTACCAGTACCACTCCACCTACCAGTGTCGGCACCATTCCACCTACCAGTGGAGATACCATTCCACACACCAATGGAGATACCATTCCACCTACCAATGGAGGTACCATTCCATCCATCAATGGAGGTACCATTCCATCCACCAGTGGAGATTCCATTCCACCTATCCATGGAGATACAATTCCATCCATCAATGGAGGTACCATTCCATCCACCAATGGACGTACCGTTCCACCTAAAAATGGAGGTACCATTCCACCTGCCAATGGAGGTAACAAACCATCCACCATAACATTCAACGTTTTTAAAATGTCACGTGCTACCAGCAACGACTTGGTTATAAGATGGGTCCTGCATTTATTTATTTTTTTCAAATGTCCGATATTAACTCAACCAAACGTCTAAGTACCGAATACACTTTATTCTTTCTTTAGTCTTCAAGATGTTAGTCTCCTCTCGCAAACGTCATTTGGTTCATTCCCAGGTCTTTTCCAAAGAAAGACCTGAATGAAAGCTGGGAACGAGACAAATAACGGCTGCAGCAGGAGACTAAATGTTTACACCTGAATGATATCCAAGGGTTTGAACAAAAGTAGTTAATTGTCACGAAATGCACGCACAATGACCGTCTCATTTTACCCAGTCATAATGCTACTGAAGGCCGGACAGCTTCCTAATTCTTATAACTATCTTTGTTTAAGATGCAAGTTCAGACTTCGACTTCAAACTTCCACGACGAAGTGATCAAGATTACGTGAAGCTCGAAGCCATGACGAATGTAACTTTGCTCACAAAGCTTACGATTAGTTTAAGTGTCAGATTGATATTGGATGATGGGGGTCACACATTCATATCTTACGCGACGACCGAACATTATAACGAGATACTATTTTATCTAGGGGATAGGAAGTGGTATCTTATCGTAGAGGACCAAAAAAAGTGAGTATGGAGCTTATGGGAGGTTGTTATGTACGAGTGAAAACAGTCCAACCGTATGTTGTAATGATTGTGTTCTTTTATTGATGCTTATACTCATCGCTATATGAAATCATTGAGTTTCTAATCTGTATCTTTAGTCCTTTGCGCAGTTTTACGTCCCTTTATTAAAAATTCCCCATTTGAATTTTTTTCGTGCTTTGTACAAAACTTGATGTCCTTAATTTTTTTTAATCAGAACTTTCAACGTCGATTTCACCCCAGCAAAACAATGGCATCACGTGGTCGTCACGTGGGAAAGCGATGATGGCAAAACCCAATTATGTATCGATGGTATATCAATCTATTCTGATGATTCCAATGATAATAATAAACTGAAAGGTTTACAAGTAAAGGGAGGTGGGTTGTTTGTTCTTGGGAATGATCAGGATAMATATGGYGGTGGYTTTAMASRAAATGATGCCCTTGTTGGGCAAMTTTCTCGTGTTAACGTGTGGGATAGAGTCTTATCTGGAGACGAGATCAATAGCCTGGGTGAATGCAGTGATGAAGATGGTACAGTCGTTGCTTGGAAGGACTTCCGCATGGCCACCTTACATGGGGAAGCAACTTTAGTAGAGCCCTCCCAATGTGCAGGACCCCCGGCAGCAAAGGCCCACATTTAGCCCTTTCCATGTCCCTAAGTAGCGGTAATTTAAATCGACTTTTGACAATTTAAGTCGAGAGAGCCCTCGCAGTGTTGGCATAGGGAAGGGCACGATGAATACAGTAAATAGCATAGTGGGAAATATTGTATGTCTGTTAATAATAGTCACTTAAAAGTCAATTTGTTTGTGTTTTCTTTAAAGAAAAGGCACAAGTATTTAAAAGTATCATTTGAACGTAAAAGTACAAGATGAAAACACAAATTATATCAGACAAATTTCATTTTACTTAAAACTTCAAATTGGTTCAAACACGAGAATTAAGTGATTCACCAGAAAAGTAAAACGGACTCTTTTATACAAATAAACTTGTGAATCTTTTACGTCACTACATAAATTGCAATGCATTGTGGTATCAGATCTCTACAGAAAACAAAAGAGATCTGCCATGTTTTGTCTCAAACATGTCCTACAATGCATTGCGTATACGGTACATGACGTAACAGCTATTTTGCTTCTATGGATTGAGTCTTTGGTTTTAATTAAACGTTTAACATTCTCTTAGAAATAATTATATATAGATAAATAATTAAGAATAGAGAACAGCTGTAGATAATGATAAAAATGAAATTAAAGTTACGATGACTCAAATATATCATGCATGACGGCTAGTGTTTCTTATATAACCGTGTTATCTATCCCGCATGCTCAATAATTTCCCTTTGGACCATCCCACATGGCTTTAGCAAATCATGTACCATTCAAAAAACGTCCTGTTATAAAATATTTGCTTTGACCCCCCTCACTCAAAGCCAAATTGATTTTTTTAAAGAAAATACAGTGCTATAAGTTTAGAAAAAACTTCTCCTCCACGAAAAATGATTTCCTCGTTTCTCCTTTATTCTTTTACGTAATTTTGTATGAAATCGCACACTCCCCCTACCCACTCCCCCCTTCCCCTCCCCTCTCCCCCTCGACAAATTCTGGATACACCACTGAGTCGATAAAGACGTCAATCAAAAGTCAATTAATAGTTTATGAATAAAACAGGACACGAGAGGGATGAACCTCCATTGCGCATACGACTCCATCATAACTAAGTATTCAATATAGCAACCAGTTGTTCGTGTCCACTACGATCTTTATACAGCTATCGCGTGTAAAAATGAGAATTACTTTGCTGTTTGGTTGGTGTTTCCTCGTTTTGTTCTGGTTTTACACTCACATTAGAGTTCAAGGTAAGTGAAATTGGACTTGCAATGCTTGATAGTTTTGTGAAAAACGGGAAAAAAAATAATTGCATATTTTTTTCTGAGAACGACATGTGACGATGCAATTTAAGTTGAGAGTTTTTATATTCGAAAGAGAAACCCCTGCTTTCAGAAGATTGTAGAATTTGGTAAATTGGAAGTTTGCGTTGATACGATTCAAAAAAAGGGGTCGAACTTTGTTTTTTTTTTTTCAGTTCTTTTTCATTTGCCATGCACATATCATAAGTATCTGCGCCCTTTACTACCTTATTTGTCAGCAAGTTATTTTGTGTATAATACTGGGAGATTCTAAACTCTACTACTAAAATCAAGTGAACTTTGTTTATATTTCTTGTCTAGAGATTCATGATTAAATATGTCTATACCGACATCTAATAAGAGCGACATGGAGCCGAAAACATTGTCCAAAAGTTTAGTTCATTATATAAAATATTTGTGATAAATAGTTTGCCAGCCATTTCCAAATAAGTAAAAAATCCATTGTTTTCTATATTATAATTTGTCTCCGCAATTTCAAGACAAATTTTTCTCACAATATGTCATCTCAAGGATTTTATGAATGCACTCCATGGAATCTATGAATGACTAAACAATGATGAGAAAATAACGGTCTAGGAAGCCAAAATAAGCCGTGGACTCTCACTGGGAAATGTTTCCAAAGCTAACTCCTCGTTGTGTCATTTTTAATCATAGCATATGTGATGATCAACGTTTTGTATTCTCCATGACTACAACTTTCTCCATGGCTGAGATAAAGTGTTTTTTTGTTAAGCCAATTATTTTCAGGAAATTATATTTTTCCATGGAAAGTCTTTTTTAGTACTAATTAATTCAAAAAGAATCCTTCATGGACCATATAGATTGTAAGTCTCATCAAAACCTCTTTTAGAAGCCATATGTTTTAAAAGTGTCTATAAATGTCGGGACCCTGACAGAATATCANAGTTCTTTGTAGACTCAAATGCAATATGGACAAACGGTAATGATGGCCTTAAATTATTGATAGATTTAAAAGAGAACAAAGATTAAAGCAAGCAAGTGTGCTAGTGCTTTACTTGAAGAAATATCGACAAATTATCCATTTTAATAAGTATTGCTTATTTCAAGGTGTTTGACATTCAACTTCGAGGAGAGAACTCGGATCTGTGAATTGAACGACGCTGACCACAAAAAAGACCTTCGAAAGGCTCAAGGTTTTGTCTACGTTGATATTAAGGTCAGCGGTATGACTTATCATGACAGTAAAAGAGAAGATAGGAACCTTCATTAAAATATATTATTTTTAATCAATCAAACAGAAGTCAACCAAGAAATATGAAGTCACTAGTACCAGCCCTTCTCAAACAACATCCGGGCTAGAAACAGATGCTAGTGCCAGTACTACTCCACCTACTAGTACCAGTACTACTCCAACCACCAGTAATATTCAAATTTCCAGTCCAGATGCTAGTGCCAGTACCACTCCACCCACTAGTACCAGTACCACTCCAACCACCAGTAATATTCAAACTTCCAGTCCAGATGCTAGTTCCAGTACTACTCCACCCACCAGTACCAGTACTACTCAAACTACAAAAACGGAGACTAGTGCCAGTACTACTCAAACTACAAAAACGGAGACTAGTGCCAGTACCACTCACACTGCCAATCCAGTTGTTAGTTCCAGTATCACTCCACCCACCAGTACCAGTACTATTACAACAACAAACTGGTCAGGTAAACGAAAAATACAAATCTTTAAAGCTATAAGTTGGCTTTTTTAAAAGATGTTTTTGTCGCTTTGAAAGCGAAGACACAAACAAAAAGTGTTGTAGTTACATAATTTTGAACGTTTTTGAAATGCCATGTGCTACCAGCAAGAGACGACTTGTGTATGAGGGCGGTCCTGTATTTATTTATCTATTTCAAATGTCTGATATTGTATTCTGGTTAGTTTGAGTAAAACCAAAAAACCAGTTGTGTAAAAAGATAAATTAACACCGTAAAAAAGTAGGGGAAACAACTTTCTGGCGTTTCGGACGTCGATCCTACTTCGGAGTAAAGAGAGGATTTGATAGCAAGAGGTATTTTGACAGCAATTCCGTTTAGTCATCAGCGCGTGATTTTTATTTTTTACACATTCAACTTTCAGGTTCAAGTTCTTTTCTTGCTGGTCACTCGTGCAAGGGAATCAAAGGTGATTCTCGTGGAGAATCTCGTAGAGATGGAGAATACTGGATTGATCCTGGGAACACTGGAMAACCCTTTACTGTCTACTGTGACATGACTACTGATGGAGGTATTCTGACAGGACCAGAGTCCTTTTGAATCAATTTAACGTAGTTACTACTAACTATGAACAAATCTAGCAATTGAACGGGAGAGCGCAGAGCATTCTGGTAGTTGTAGTAAAATTACGCCATCATAATGCTCTTACAGTAACCGCTTTCCAGRCTCCATTAAGACATTGCGTATTGAGACCATMWATCYTGATTGCTGTATTTTACTTGGCACCATTCTTAACTTGTGTGTGTATGTGTGTTGCTGTACGTCATATTACGTACCCTTACGCAATATTACGTAATATTACGTAATATATAGTATAAACGTAATCTTGTTTTATATGTTTAAATAGGTGGATGGACACTGATTAAACGATCAAATYTAACCTCTACCAAACGAAATCGATCCGACATATTTGACCGGAACGACTATCGTGCAATTTCTAACTACAGTGATTTGAGGCAAAACATTCTCACCACAGCGATTCAAGACTTAAGAAAAACGATGGGCTTTGATCAGCTTCGATATCGATGTCGCAAGAAAAGAATCAATCGAACTCTTCACATAATGACGATAAACAATAACGCAGGTTATGAAGTCCTGGATCACTTTCTTGTTCAACCAACATGGCCGACAGCATGCAACTCATTTGAAAGATTACCAGATGATACATCGATTCTTGCACGGAATTGCATTAAGTGGGGTGATTCTGGTCTAAATAACGGGACTGACCATTGGGGCAAGTCTTCAAATAAAGGTCGATACAGGGTTTATAATCACGTTATTGTATTGAAACCGAACCACCGTTTGGCATTTATGTCAGGAGGACCTTATTATTGCGACGATTCACTTCGCTCTGTGAGCATTGGAGACTTCTGGGAGCTTTATGTCCGTTAATAGACCTTTTACGTCACTACTTGATTTCTAACGCATTGTGGGATTAGTTTCTAAAGAAAACAAAAGAAATCCGCAATGTTTTGTCCCAAACATATCCTACAATGCATTGCGTATACGGTACATGACGTAAAAGCTTTAGAGGTCTATTTGAAATAAGATAATCAGGGGGATCCACTTTGTTTTCGCATTTTCCTAAAACGAACTTTTTGTACTGTCTCTCGAACTGATAGCAAATGTAACATGAATGTAGTTATAGCAGCGCATCTCTTAAGTCTCAAAACGCTTTACAGTTCTGTGTGCATACATTACAGCCATGTGGTAAAAGTGTTATATAAAGCTGCTTGCCTAATGTAAGATATAAGCCAGCTTCATCCTTCTCGGATGCAATTTTGTACGATGCGTTTTAGTCATTTTATTTCATTTGCAATTTATTTTATTATTATTATTTTTTTTTATGCTCGATCCACCACCGATAATAATGAATCAGTATACGTTTATTAAACCCTTTGCTGTCAAATAACTAAATTACATGTTAGGCCAGCATATATATAATGAATATTAACGCTAACATTGAATGGATTAAGATGCAATATAATAGATGCTAACGAAGATGAGAAAAATGGAAAACTGACTAAGGTGTAAAATATCTTGTATAATATTTCTTTTTTCAATATCTCAAAGAACTTAGGAATAAGTAATGGAAGGAGTAATGATAGGAGTAATGATAACTTTACTTTAAGCTAATAACAAGTCAATAAGCACATTTGATTGATATGTTACTAGACACATGATGTATTACTGTCAAAAACTCATATCAAATCAACCAATCAAATTGCTTCCCTACAAATTGACGTAAATTTTCAATAAAGTGAGTTGAGGTCAGTAGACAGTTGGGTTTCTTTAAAATAATTGCTGAACTCTTTCTACAGTTGTAGAAAGCTAGAGAATTMMTGCGTTTYAATAACATGATTCGCTTTGCTTTGCTTTTGAGTTGGTTTTTTACTTGCTTTGGTGTTCAAGGTAAGACTGATTAATCGCAATTRWTGTGAAATGTGATGGTACGTCGCCATAGGAAACGGGACTTACGAGTAAAATACATGTTATGGCTTTGAAACGCCACTACCCTACATAACTCGGGCAATTCCTGCAGTGGCCTATGTCTAGACGTTGCAAAAGTGGGATGACTAACCCAAGAAAAACAATATATATAACAACTAAATGGATAGATTTAAAAAATGCCTTTCAGGTGAAGTTGTTTTTCAGAATGATCCCCATCCAGATTTATTTWCTTCCTTTGTTATATCATAATTTCTATTTCTCTATTTAGAGCACAAAAAATGGGATGGCCATCCTTCATTAAGGCAAATGTTTCGTACAAACATCTGTAACGCAATCTTTTCAATTTATTTTAAAGTCATTTTCAGTCCTATTTAAACTGAACTCGGTTTTTAACTCTCAGAAAGTTGAACCAGTAGAAAAAATAAGAATATAAACTACATAAATCATTATTAATGTCTTATGCGTCGCTGTATTCACGGAATGACAGGTGCACACGACTAACATCAACGAATCGTTATTCAAGTTCATTGCTATATTCTTCATGCAGGGTGAACAAATTAACTCACAGAACTTATTGAGAACCAATCAATTGAACTTTGTTTGACTGACAGACGAAAGAACCAAAAGGAAAGCTGAAAATTGATTAAAAAGCGAGCGATTTTTTTTTTCAAAATACAACAAGAACCACAAAAAGTTAAGCCCGACCAAGACCGTCGAATGTCACTTGCCGAATGAGATCATAGTACGAGCTTCGGTTGAGGCTAAGTTTAAAATTATGGCGAACAGCCTTTCATAGTACGAGCTTCGGTTGAGGCTAAGTTTAAAATTATGGCGAACAGCCTTTCATAGTACGAGCTTCGGTTGAGGCTAAGTTTAAAATTATGGCNAATTGAACGGGAGAGCGCAGAGCATTCTGGTAGTTGTAGTAAAATTACGCCATCATAATGCTCTTACAGTAACCGCTTTCCAGRCTCCATTAAGACATTGCGTATTGAGACCATMWATCYTGATTGCTGTATTTTACTTGGCACCATTCTTAACTTGTGTGTGTATGTGTGTTGCTGTACGTCATATTACGTACCCTTACGCAATATTACGTAATATTACGTAATATATAGTATAAACGTAATCTTGTTTTATATGTTTAAATAGGTGGATGGACACTGATTAAACGATCAAATTTAACCTCTACCAAACGAAATCGATCCGACATATTTGACCGGAACGACTATCGTGCAATTTCTAACTACAGTGATTTGAGGCAAAACATTCTCACCACAGCGATTCAAGACTTAAGAAAAACGATGGGCTTTGATCAGCTTCGATATCGATGTCGCAAGAAAAGAATCAATCGAACTCTTCACATAATGACGATAAACAATAACGCGGGTTATGAAGTCCTGTATCACTTTCTTGTTGAACCAACATGGCCGACAGCATGCAACTCATTTGAAAGATTACAAGATGATACCTCGATTCTTGCACGGAATTGCATTAAGTGGGGTGATTCTGGTCTAAATAACGAGACTGACCATTGGGGCAAGTCTTCAAATAAAGGTCGATACAGGGTTTATAATCACGTTATTGTATTGAAACCGAATCACCGTTTGGCATTTATGTCAGGAGGACCTTATTATTGCGACGATTCACTTCGCTCTGTGAGCATTGGAGACTTGTGGGAGCTTTATGTCCGTTAATAGATCTCTGAACCTTTTACGTCACTACTTGATTTCTAATGCATTGTGGGATCAGTTTCTAAAGAAAACAAAAGAAATCCGCCATGTTCTGTCCCAAACATATCCTACAATGCATTGCGTATACGGTACATGACGTAAAAGCTTTAGAGGTCTATTTGAAATAAGATAATCAGGGGGATCCACTTTGTTTTCGCATTTTCCTAAAACGAACTTTTTGTACTGTCTCTCGAACTGATAGCAAATGTAACATGAATGTAGTTATAGCAGCGCATCTCTTAAGTCTCAAAACGCTTTACAGTTCTGTGTGCATACATTACAGCCATGTGGTAAAAGTGTTATATAAAGCTGCTTGCCTAATGTAAGATATAAGCCAGCTTCATCCTTCTCGGATGCAATTTTGTACGATGCGTTTTAGTCATTTTATTTCATTTGCAATTTATTTTATTATTATTATTTTTTTTTATGCTCGATCCACCACCGATAATAATGAATCAGTATACGTTTATTAAACCCTTTGCTGTCAAATAACTAAATTACATGTTAGGCCAGCATATATATAATGAATATTAACGCTAACATTGAATGGATTAAGATGCAATATAATAGATGCTAACGAAGATGAGAAAAATGGAAAACTGACTAAGGTGTAAAATATCTTGTATAATATTTCTTTTTTCAATATCTCAAAGAACTTAGGAATAAGTAATGGAAGGAGTAATGATAGGAGTAATGATAACTTTACTTTAAGCTAATAACAAGTCAATAAGCACATTTGATTGATATGTTACTAGACACATGATGTATTACTGTCAAAAACTCATATCAAATCAACCAATCAAATTGCTTCCCTACAAATTGACGTAAATTTTCAATAAAGTGAGTTGAGGTCAGTAGACAGTTGGGTTTCTTTAAAATAATTGCTGAACTCTTTCTACAGTTGTAGAAAGCTAGAGAATTMMTGCGTTTYAATAACATGATTCGCTTTGCTTTGCTTTTGAGTTGGTTTTTTACTTGCTTTGGTGTTCAAGGTAAGACTGATTAATCGCAATTRWTGTGAAATGTGATGGTACGTCGCCATAGGAAACGGGACTTACGAGTAAAATACATGTTATGGCTTTGAAACGCCACTACCCTACATAACTCGGGCAATTCCTGCAGTGGCCTATGTCTAGACGTTGCAAAAGTGGGATGACTAACCCAAGAAAAACAATATATATAACAACTAAATGGATAGATTTAAAAAATGCCTTTCAGGTGAAGTTGTTTTTCAGAATGATCCCCATCCAGATTTATTTWCTTCCTTTGTTATATCATAATTTCTATTTCTCTATTTAGAGCACAAAAAATGGGATGGCCATCCTTCATTAAGGCAAATGTTTCGTACAAACATCTGTAACGCAATCTTTTCAATTTATTTTAAAGTCATTTTCAGTCCTATTTAAACTGAACTCGGTTTTTAACTCTCAGAAAGTTGAACCAGTAGAAAAAATAAGAATATAAACTACATAAATCATTATTAATGTCTTATGCGTCGCTGTATTCACGGAATGACAGGTGCACACGACTAACATCAACGAATCGTTATTCAAGTTCATTGCTATATTCTTCATGCAGGGTGAACAAATTAACTCACAGAACTTATTGAGAACCAATCAATTGAACTTTGTTTGACTGACAGACGAAAGAACCAAAAGGAAAGCTGAAAATTGATTAAAAAGCGAGCGATTTTTTTTTTCAAAATACAACAAGAACCACAAAAAGTTAAGCCCGACCAAGACCGTCGAATGTCACTTGCCGAATGAGATCATAGTACGAGCTTCGGTTGAGGCTAAGTTTAAAATTATGGCGAACAGCCTTTCATAGTACGAGCTTCGGTTGAGGCTAAGTTTAAAATTATGGCGAACAGCCTTTCATAGTACGAGCTTCGGTTGAGGCTAAGTTTAAAATTATGGCGAACAGCCTTTCATAGTACGAGCTTCGGTTNAGCACAAGAATTCTTAGACCAGTTTAATGCTTTTGCTGATTTTCACGGATGGGATGACAAACAAAAGACCACYGCTTTTAGCTTAAGTTTAACTGATTCAGCAAGGACTTGGTATTTTACCTTAGAAGCAACATTTAAGGATTTTGCAGGACTAACWGAGTTATTTAAARARCGTTTTCTTTCTCAAAGTGATGATTTCGTTTTAAGACAGGAGTTAAATTCGCGAAARCAAAAGCCCACTGAARGCGTAGCAGAATATAGCGCCGACATTTTAAAACGTTGTCAGCGACTAGGAATACCAAGGAAAGAGTATTTGCACATTTTTATTAATGGGTTACTCCCTGACTTGAGAAATTTTGCGATTCTTTCTCAACCTAAGACTTTTGAGGACGCCGTGGCAGCAGCAAAAGTAAGATCGACTATTCAACCAGCCACAGTATCGAGTATTAGCTCTCAGGAAATGCGGAATTTCAAAGAAGAGATGCTAGGCGCTCTTTCTAAAGTCAATACACAAAGCCCTATGCAAGTAGCAGCTTTTGAACAAAGAACTGACAAAACAAACAACGCGCTAACAGCAGATCAGGTTAGGACTATGATTCAAAATGAGTTTAGGAGAAATAATCGTCCGCCTAATAATAATAATAATCTACGTTTTAATACTAGAACAAATTTTGGTCGTGGCGCTTCGCGCACTGTATCAGGAGATCCGATTTGTTTTCATTGTAAAAGAGTGGGACACATGTCCAGGAGTTGCCCAGAGAAACAAGGAATGAATAGGCCACAAAGTTCTTTTGTTCCGAACCGTGCCCCTAGACCTCAGGGTGCGCCAAGTGGTTTTTCTGGTAGTTATCGCTCGGAAAACTTCCGAGGGGTTCGTCGTGGGGGCCACGGACCCCAAAGGCAATAAAGAAATTAGATTTTAAAATAGCTGCGTCTTTACAAGCGGATGAGATTTTATTAGATTCTGGAACGGTTATTTCAAAACAAAAGGATCCGAGTTTAGGACCAAGGAAGAAAGAGGGGGTGTCCTTAGCTAGCATTCCCAAGGGAGCGGTTCTTAAGACTTCTAAGCATGAAGGGTCTTTTCGGAAGTTTGCTAAAAAGGCTAAAGAAAAGCATAACGTTTTGAATAGTAAAATCGAGCCAGAG